ATGCCAAAAATAGGTCAAATTTTCTTTGCTTCTACAAGAGAGGAAAGAAATACTGTAGCAGAGAGGAAAGAAATCTCTCAGTAACTAAACAAACTGAACAACAGAAGAGTAACAGCTTTAATTATTGCCTGTCTATATGTATCAGGTACTGTGTCTGACACTTAACTATTATCACTAACCTCGGATCAACTTTGCCAAGAAATTTCATTTTACTGGGAAAACTAAGGCTCGGAGAGGTTCAGTGACTTGCCTAGATACACAAGTAGCAGAGCCTGGAATTGCTCCCCAGGTCTGGTTGGAGGTGGTTCAGTGCTGGGTTAAAAGCACACAGTGGGTTTGTGGGTTTGGACTCCACTCCGCCACCTACAAGCAAATATCAAGTTCCTTAACCTCTTTGTGCCTCAGTTTCCTCTTCTGTAAAACAGGAATAACAACGGCACCTACCTCAAAGGGCTGTTATATGAGTTAAAATACACCAAGTGCTGAGAATCTAACACCAAGGAAGCACTATGTGTTTGCTGTTAGGAGCATTATTTTTATTATTTTCCTATACTCCTATACTCCTTCTTCTATATTAGTTCTGAAATGTCTGAGGACATGGGGGTTTTTCAGACATTTTTGCCTGCTCTGTACTGTTAGTAGGTCAAAGAAACTTAATATGTTTGATAAGATGTTGACACTTAACTAGTTTAAAGATGTTCTATTTATTTGTGATATTGTTTCCAGCAGGCAGAGGTCTTAAGGAGGCCATAGCAGTCCAATTATATGACCTAGCCAATTACATGAAAAAAAATTGTGCGGAGTTTGGGTTATTACCATTTGCTTAGAATTGATGGAATATATAAGTCTTGTATCTTAGTGCACGCAATAACATTGCAAAAATCCAAAATATGGAAGATTAGAACACATCAGAAGATGTTAAACCTATTGAACTTTAAATTCAATAGGTTTAGATTACCAGATAAAATAGGTTTTATTACAGAGCAAAGAGAACAAAGGTTGATTGGGTAATAATGATGGTTCACATTACTCACTTCACTTTGATTGAATGAAGTCTTGTAAAAAATAATTATAATTCATTTTGGTTGGG